CATGACCCTGCTGCCTGAGACCTTGGGGAGAAGGGGAAAAATGGAGAGAAACTTCAAGTTAGTTAGGTCTTCATGGAAGTTTAGCCTGTAATTTATCAGTGCTGCCATAAGGTGGCACTGCTGCAGTCATATGGCTCTTCTTGCAAGTGAGCCTGCGTGTACGAATTTCTGGGTTCTAAAACCAAACCAGTAATTTTCTATTCAAAGTTTTTAATAAATCAAGAATGATACAGAGACCCAAATACTTATCTACCAAGTGCCTAGTGCTGGTCTAGGTATTGGGGTGCAAAGATAAAGAAAACACATCAGTGTCTTATACTCCACTCTACTTCCTGTAGCAATAACTGGCCATTGGTGGGACTAGATTTTCATTCCTAAAACTCTTCCAACCATTTTCCTTTTCAGAGTCAGGTGGTGGGTACCTATATGCCTTTCCTATATGCTATGCCTGGTATCCTCATCCCCCCCCTCTGAATTTCCCAAACTCTGAGATGATGTAGTTTCTTTTCTCTGAATAATCAAAATAAAGCTTCTTTACTAAGCCAGCGAACCATTACACAGATGAAGAAGTATTACTCATCACCAAGGAGTTCACTAGCTCTCTTCATAAACTAGAGGTGGATTTCCTAGGTGCCTCCTGCCCACTCATGTCTCATGCATATGTGCGTGTACACACACCTATACACACACTCTTCAGGCTGATAGGAGGTAGATCTGCTTTCACGAGGAAGTTGAATTTGGCTTAGGCCTTGAAGAAAACTCTAATTATCTCTCAAAGTATTTGTCTTCTGTCCTCTGAATTCCCAAGTCCTTAAGATCTGGCATTTAACACAAATTACCTAGCATTTCAGCTACTTGTGTACACATCATGTCCTGCAGGATAGGGATGTGTTCCTGTCTGCCTTGGCATCTGCAGTAAAATGCTCAATAAGTAACATTGGTTGGCTATACCGGCCAGCAGGAGATGAATAGTCAGAGAAGACTTGCAGGGTGAGGATGTGGGGGGTGGGGGTGGGGCAGAACACACTAGGCAGAAAGAGTAGCAAGTGCAAGGACACCCAAGTAGGAAAATCTGAGGCTCTCATAGGAGAAGGTGACTCCTCCCAGTGTGACCAGGGAGGGAGTGTAAGGAGGGTAGAGGAAGAGGGAAGGCTGGGAGGTGAGGAGCAGTCAGAAAAGAGGTCCACACAAAGAGACATCATAATTAAAATGCCAAGGTTTAAAGACAAAGAGAGAATCTTAAAAGCAGCAAAAACAGTTAGTTACCTACAAGGGAGCACCCATACTACTGTCAGCTGATTTCTCAACAGAAACTTTGCAAGCCGGATGGGAGTGGCAAGAAATATTCAAAGTGATGGAAAGCAAGGACCTACAACCAAGATTACTCTACCCAGCAAAGCTATCATTTAGAATTGAAAGGCAGATAAAGAGCTTTCCAGACCAGAACAAGCAAAAGCAGTTTATTACCACCAAACCAGTATTACATGAAATGTGAAAGGATCTTCTTTAAGAAGGAGAAGGGGGGAAAAAGTTAAAAAACAATAAAATGGAAATAAATACATAACTATCAACAACTGAAAATAAAAATAAACAAATGAGCAGAACAGAAACAGACTCATAGATACAGAGAACATTTTGATGGTTGCCAAATGGAAAGGGGAAGGGGAGATGAGTGAAAAAAGTGAAGGGATTTAGAAGTACAAGTTAGTAGGTATAGTGTAGTCATGGGGGTGAAAAGTACAGCATAGGGAATATAGTCAATAATATTCTAATCACTATGTATGGTGTCAGATGGGTATGAGATTTTCTGGGATGATCACTTAATAAGTTTTATACTGTCTAATTACTGGGGTGGACACTTGAAATTAATATACTATTGTATGTCAACTGTAATTGAAAAATTAAAAAAGGATTTTAAAAAAAAGAATCTGGGCTTGCTTCAATAAGCAAAGGGGAGCCAGAGAAGGATTCCAGGTGAGGAAGATGTCAGCAGGATGCAGAAAGGCCGGCCTGGGCTCAGCAGGGATGAGTGGAAACGCACAACCCCCATTGGGGAGTGAGATCATAAGAGAGCTGAACCTCTTACCCAACACCCTGATGGGGATAATGAAGGGGGGACTCAGGTGAGCCAGTTAAGGGAAGAATGAATGAGCAGAACCTGGTGCCTGCACCCAGAGCGGCCAAAGAGTGACCTGGGGCCTACAGGGAGAGGAAGTGCTGGACTTGGGGCCAAGACTCATATTCAAATGTAAACTCTGATGTTATCTCCAAGTGAATTTAAATACACAATTACAAAGACACACACAAACAAGATCCTTTGTCGATACAAAGAAGCTCGTTCCAAAAAGTAGATGGAAAGATAAAGAAACTTGAAGAACCAAAACAATTTTGAAGTAGAATATTAAAATGGAAGGGTTTGCTCTACCTGATTTTTAAGACACACTGTAACTTATAGTAATACAGACAGTGTGGTATTAGGGAAAGAATGGACATATAACTCAATGGAGCAACATAGAAAGTCCAGAAACAGACACACACAAATATGATCATCTGGTTTTTTCACAAAGGTGTAAATGAAATTTAGTGGGATGTTTTCAGCAAATGGTGCTAGGACAACTGGATAGCCATATATATATATATACTTTTTAATGACCCTCAACCTGCACCTTACACCATATACAAAAGCTAAACAAAAATGGATTGCTGAACTAAATATAAAATGTAAAGCAATGAAACTCTTATGAGAAAACATCAGAGAAAATCTTTGTGACCTTGAGTTTAGCAGTTTTAGATATGTCGCCAAAAGTATGATCCATAAAAGAAAAAGAAGATAAACTTAATGCGTCAAAATTTAAAGCTTTTGCTCTGCTAAGGACACGGCAAAGAGAATGAAAATTCAAGCCATAGGTTGGGAGAAATTATTTGCCAATTGTGTATCTGACAAAGGACTTGTATTTATTACAGAAAGAACCCTCAAAACTCAACAGTAAGAAAACAACATAAAAAAAAAAAACAGACAAAAAGTTTGAGCAGATTTCACCAAAGAAGAAAAACAGATGGCAAATACACACATGAAAAGATGCTCAATGTTCTTGGTCATAAGGAAATACAAACTTAAAACCACAATGACATATCACTATATACCTATTAGAATGGTTAGAATTTAAAATATATATATACAGATACTATCAAGTGCCGGCAATGATGTGGAACAACTGGAGCTCTCCTGTGTTGCTGGTGGGAATACCAAATGGTTTAGCGATTGTGGAAAATGGTTTGTCAGCTTCTTACAGTTATACACACACTCACTACAACCACCTAGCCCTCCTGCACCTGGATTTTTACTCTAGACAAATGAAAACGTACGTTCATACAAAAAAAACCTGTCCACAAATGTTTATAGAAGCAAGATTCATAATCACCAATGTGGAAATAATCCAAATGTTCTTCAACTGTAAGTGGACAAACAAATTGTGACACATTCATGCAGTGAAAACTACTCCTCAATAGACAAGAACGAACTATGGACACATATAACAACGTGGATAGATCTCAAAGGCATGGTGCCCAATGGGAGAAGTCAGTCTTAAAAGACTATATGATTCCTTTCATCTGGCCTTCTGAGAAAGGTGACAGGGCATGCAGTAGGCCAAGCTATGCCCCCTCCTCAATGAAAGGTATTTATGTTGTAATCCCTGGAACCTCTGAGCACTAACTCATCGCACACAAAAGGGTTTTGCAGAGGTGCTGATGGTAAGGATCTTGAGGTGGGCGATGATCCTGGGTTAGCCAAGTGGGCCCTAAATGCTGTAAGGGGAAGATGACACAAGGATGTTTGCTCCCCAGAGCCTCCGAGAGCAGGCCCGTGGCCCTGCCAACACCTCGATTTCCGCCCAGGGGTCCCCATTTTAGACTCCTGGCCTCCAGACTGTGAGAGAATAAACTTCTGTTGTTTTAAGCCACCCAGTTTGTGGTGCTTTGTTGCAGCCACAGGAAACTAACACAGAACAGCCAACAGATCAGCGTTTCCAGAGGTTGGCATTGTTGAAAGTGTTCTGTATCCTGTTTGTGGCGACCTTATAAAAAGCCAGGCATTTACTGAAGTCCATGAAACTGAACCGCAAAAAAATAAATACCACTGTATTTAATTTTTTAAGAAATCAATCAATAAATAACATTTTAAAATTAAAAAGCAAACAAAAAAACAGTCTGGGACCTCAAAGAGAAGTGGCCCGGCCTCTGCTGACCCCCGAGAGGCGTGAAGCAAGGCTGAGGGGCGGCCAGGTCTCTGGCCCGGCGATTCAGGCCATCGCGGGAAGTGCTGGAGGAGCTGCTGGGGCGGAGCTGAGGGACCACCACGCTAGTGTTAGACACCGTGAACCTGCGGGGACCTCAGGCTGTCCAGGTGCAACGTGCAGCAGGCCGCTGGAGATGGTGACTCTGAGAGGCAGGACCGTGTGTGGAAGGCCGGAGTGCGCGGTGGTTATGAACACAGACATTCAGCTAAGACAGCGATGGCGAACCTATGACACGCGTGTCAGAGGTGACACGCGAACTCATTTTTTTGGTTGATTTTTCTTTGTTAAATGGCATTTAAATATATCAAATAAATATCAAAAATATAAATCCTCATTTTTTTGGTTGGTTTTTCTTTGTTAAATGGCATTTAAATATATAAAATAAATATCAAAAATATAAGTCTTTGTTTTACTATGGTTGCAAAGATCAAAACATTTCTATATGTGACACGGCACCAGAGTTAAGTTAGGGTTTTTCAAAATGCTGACACGCCGAGCTCAAAAGGTTCGCCATCACTGACCTAAGACAAACCCGGGCGAATTCCAGCTGTGTCCCTCTGCACGTTACGTAGCCTCTGAATCCCAGCGTCCTCTGGGAGGCTGGGAAAATGTCGACACTTATTTCCTGCGGGGATTCAATGGCAGAAGGAAGTAAACGAAAGCTGAGCCTGGCACGTGATAAGGGCAGGACGTGAGCCAGGACAATTACTGCCCAGAGAGCAATGGGGCCCCCCGACATGTGGAAGGAACCATGAGGGCTCCCCGCAGGGTGCAAGGATGGGCATCACAGGAGTGAGTGGGGCCCGCGGGGAGGCTGAGCGAGAGGGTGGGTCAGCGCTTGGGCCAGGGGGGGAGGAGGAGAGGAGGAAGCTGTGTGTCAGTCTCCCAGGGCTGCTGTGACAGTAACCACGGACCGTGCGGCTTAAAACACCAGCCATGTGTTGTCTCAGGGCTCTGAGGGCTGGAAGGCCAAGATCACAGTGTCAGCAGGGTTGGTTCCAACTGAGGGCTGTGAGGGAGAGTCCGTTCCAGGCCTCTTTCCCAGCTCTGGACACCTAAAGACTCGGGGGAGGGGGGCAGGGGAGGGGGGCTTTGAACTGGCTACAGGGCAGAGGCTGGGAGAGGGTGACACATGCTGGGAGAAGTCTGATGCTGCGAGGTTGCTGCCGGAAGCTTGGATGTGAAAAGTGAGTCTCGGACAGAAGGAGGACCACGTTCCTGGGAACTGGAAGCTGACGCTGTTCTGTGTGCCTCGGGGCTGGGACACTCAGCACAGGGATCCCTGTGCGTCAGTGTTAGCAAATATGAGGGCTCTGATGTCACTGTCCTGGGGGCAGCTGCAGGCTCAGCAGGGAGGGGGGAGGGTCAGGGCAGCTCCTGGCAGGAATTCCAGGGTATGAGAAGCATGCACACTGTCGAGTTAATTAAAGGCAAGCGGGGAGGAGGCCTGGGGAACTGTCTCTGGTGGGGGGTCCCCCCTGGTGAATTCCTCCTCCCCACATTCCTTTTCACGACTGTCTTCTCAAACTCCCAGCACGGATTTCTCCAGGCTGGTTTCTCCACCCGTGGCCCTCTCTGCTCCCCCCTTGGCAGTGACGCTCCTGTCTGACCCTCTGTGCCTGCCCAGGGCCTTGTGCAAAGGGCGTTCGCCAGTCCTCCCAACAGCGCCTGGGGCCAGCAGGACAGTGTCAGTCTCACGTTAGAAACGAGGATCTGGAGGCTCAGAGGTTAGCTGACTTACCCAGGACACACAGCGTGTTTGGGGGTAGCAGCATGCAAACCCCTGGTCTCTAGACTCCAGCCTGGAGCAGGGCCCGCTTCACTCTATGGCTTTGCTTTCCTGTTCTGGAAGGCTCCACCTCGGGGAGAAAGGGGAGCCGGGGGCAGAGACACCCCGAGCTCCCCAGTCCTGACCCCAGCGGAGGGAATCTGGCTTCCGGAGGTCTTCATCCCCCATCACTGAGCACCCCAGGGACAGAACTTGCGCGCCGCTGTGGTGTGACCACAAGAGGGCAGTGGCGCCTGTGTGATGATCTGCTGCGGGTCGCGCTGGAGGCCCGGGGGTGGGGAGGGGGCTCACCTCCCCCATGTTCTCAGAGCGCCCTCCCCAAGAGTCTCATCGGCCTTGGGGCACATAACTTTGACTCCAATTGGTCGTTCCAGGGTTTCCTGAGCTGGGGCTGGGCTTGGTGCTGGAGGAGCCCCCATCTCCCACGTTGGACACTCACATTCAGCCCCAAGTTTAAATCACTGGAGCCCCTCACTCCCACCTCCCCGTGGCCTGAGTTCCGATGGAATCCACACTGGGCACCCCCTCTGCTGCTCCGTCCTTTCGTCCTTCCCTCCCGTCCTGGGGATCTGAACATTCTGAGAGAGCAGCCCCCACCCCCCCTCTGGGGATCAACAGGCTTACTGGATACCTGCTGGGGACGCTGGGGACGCTGGGGACACTGGGAACCTGTGAGGAGGAGAATGGGGGAGGGAGTGGACTGGACTCCAGCCCCCTCTCCCTTCCCTTTAGAGACCCTCTAGTATCAGCTATTTTGAGCTTTTTCTTAAGATTTCTTTTGAAGAAAGTGTTGCACTGCGTGAGTGGAGGGAAGAGGAAAAATCTTTGCAAACCATTACATTAACCTAACCCTTTCTCCTCATTTTACAGATGGAAAAACCGAGACCCGGGGCTGAGACTTGCCTGACCACAACCCTCGAGAGGAGCAGAATCAACCCTGGGACCCAGGCCCACCAGGCCCACCCCACACAGCCCTGTGGGCATATGGGCTATGGGGGGGGGGGGGCTGGGAAGGGAGCAGGGGAAACTTGTAACCGTCAGAACATGATAGAAGTCCATGAAACCCTACCAGTGAGAATCTGTCACTCATTTAACAAATAGTAATTGAGCACCTACTATGTGCCGGGCACCCAGGTACATGGATGCAATAGTGAACAAAGGCCCGGCCTTCAAGAAGCTGGCACTTCTCTCTGGTGGTGACGTCTGGAGAGGACGCACGGAAATGGCACCTCCCCAGGGGAAGGCAGGAAGGAAGCTCGGACCTCAGTGGCCGAGGAGAAATGTGTGCATATCTGCCACTTCTTTGTCCTTCAGTGACACTTCTGTCCATGCCAGCGATCTTTCTGGCCAGGAAACCATCTGCGTGTGCCTGGTGGGGTGAAGGCAGGGGCTGAGCGGGGTGAGTCCTCCATATACTGCCATGTCGGTGGCCAGGAGGTGGCCCGGAGGTGTGAGCTGGGCACCGCCGCCCTCCACGTCAGCCCCGGCCACGGGAACAAACGGAGCCCGGGCTCAGGAATGAAGATCTTACAGACTGAGGATGTCACCCCATCCCCCCCCCCCCCCCGACAGCACCCACAGGACGGGGGTCGCTGTGGTCGCCCTCTTGGAACAAGACTCCTCAAATTATTGTTTTCTGTGAATAAATTGCCTTTGTGTGAAAAAAAAAAAAGAACCTTAACTTCTAGTGGGAGTTCTGTTTGCTCTGTGACAAAGCAACCATGGCAAGATAGATGATTGACAGCCCCCCACACACACCTCTCCAAGCTGCAGTCGCTGTGCCCAGGCGCCACCTCCTCCTGGTTTGTCCCTTTTTCCTGGTGCCCCTCGTCCGTCTCCTCTACCTCCTCCAAGGAGCACCCCGTCAGGCGCAGGCCTGGCCCTGGGGCCGCGGGGCCCAGCACTGACAGTCTGTGCACCTGGGCGGCCAGAGAGGGAGGAGCCGCGGACCCGCAGGAGGAGGACTGCCCATCAGGGACTGCCTGGGGCCACAGACCTGGATTCCAGCACACTCTGCCCTGCGGCAGAGGGAGGGCAGAGGCAGGGATAGGAGGGAGGGGCGGGAGCCCGAAGGCTACCCCAACTCACTGCCCCACAGCCTGAGGTCAGTCCCAGGCCTCCAGGTCCAACCCATCTGTCTCTGTTGACAAGGACCCCCAGGCTGGGCCTCCGTAAATGCCACGCCAGGAACAGGAAGCATTCCTGGGCTTCCAGAGAAGCCGCTGAGGCCGGGCCAGTGGGCTCATTACCCAAACACACAGGGAGGACTCGCAGTCTAGAAGGTTCCCTTCGTAGGCGGATCAGATGGTCAGCGGGACCCAGTCTGAGGGGAGACAGGACCCTGCCCTCGGGGAGCCCCAGTCTGAGGGGGACATAACCCTGTCCTCAGGGAGCCCCAGTCTGAGGGGAGAGAGTTTCAGGTCATCATAGGTCTCTGATAGGAGAGTCTCTCTCTCTCTCTCTCTTTCTCTCTCTCTCAGAAACACACACAGACACATGCAGACAGTCAGAAGTCTTAAAAACACTGTAGTCCAAATCTCCATAAATGCCAAGAACACAGTCCAAACTCCAAGGACCACAGAAACCCAGACTGGCTGACGACTCAGGGGCGACGTTGAGGCTGGGCTGCCAGGGGTGAGGCTCAGACCTCACCTGAACCCTGGGGCTGGGAGACGGCCGTCCTCACCAGCGGAGGAGCCCTCAGCTTGTGCGAACCAGCAAGGGGTGGGGGCCTCCCCTCCTGGAGCTGTTCCCTCCCAGCCTCACAGGTCCCACCCGTGGTCTGGCTGCTAAGGAGAAGGGTCTGGAAGGACCACACACACACACACACACACACACCACTGTGGTGACTCCCGGAGCCCAGGGCAGCGGGGGCAGGCCTTAGCGTCTTCCCGGGGTGTGTCCCGTTGCCCTTGTTTAGGCCTCCATGCTGGGAGGGCCAAAGGGTGGGCAGGAAGGGGCCCGGCATGGGGCGAATTCCCACGACAGGCGGAAAACATCCTTCCTTCATTTGCACTATTCTAGTCACTTTCGTCCCAAGAAAAGGGCCACTCCAATTCGTAAACATGGAAACGAGAGGCTATGCCTTGGAATTAACACTGCAAAGGAGCCGGAGAGAAGGGAGTGGTGCGTGAACTGGGGGTGTGGGGACCCGGGGAAGTCAGCTTTTCTAAGGCTCTTTAAACTCGGACCCACTGTCTTCCTCGAAGTCAGTCCCTCTGGACGCAGCGGGATGAAGACGTGACCTCTGTGACCGTGGAAGCTCACAGGGGCGAGAAGCCGGCTCCCGAGGGTAGGTCACCTCTGTTGACCGGGAGCTCACTTTCCGTTTGAAGTTGCACTTGCCTCCACCAGGTGAAGGGAGGCGGCCAGGTCCCCTGCCCTCCACCTGGGCACAGCAGGCCCTGGCACAGAAGGCGGGGCTCTGGAGCTTGAGTTTCCAGGGACACAGCGCCCAGAGCCTTCCCCCCAGAGGCTGGGAACTCCTGGGAAGACGGTGTTCAGTGTTCGGGGATGAGATCTTGCTCTGAAGCGGCTCCATTGTGCTCCCAGGCGGCGCCAGCCAGTGGGGGGTGGTGCAGGGAGGAGCTGTGTTCTGAGCCACTGAGTAACGAAGGGGCATGTGGCCTGGGCACCGCCTGGTCCCATTAGCAGGCCTGCCATGTGCCTCCGGCCTTGGCATTTCCCACGCCGGGGTATGGTTCAGCCAGACTTCCTGCGCAGGCCTGGCCAGTCCGCAGCCCTGGGGGGCAGCAGGAGGAGTGTGTGGCCTCCAGCTACTGTCTGGTGCACAAACAAGATGTTTATTCAGTGAAGACGAGAGGAGAGGCTCAGGGATGAAGCTGCTGGTGCCCAGCCCTTCCTTCCTTCTCCACCCCACACCACACACACTCAGAGCTGCCCCGGGGTCAGCGGCCCAGGCCTACACCCCAGACATCAACACCAAAGGGCCCACAGACAGACAGACAGACACACACACACTCCATACAAGGGGGACCCCTGTGGACGAGGCTGATATAAAATCTTCCTAAACACACACACAAAGACACACACACACACAGCCCTTGTGTTTTAAAGTCAATTAATTAATCCTGGCAAAACACAGAGTTAAAGGGATGGCCCTGGTCCAGGGGTGTCCCAGCCGCTGCCAAGGCCAAGACGGAGAATTGGCCTCAAGAGGGAGGGAGGGAGGTGGTAGCTGGCGGCAGGGACCGGGCATGCAGGGTGCGCTTGCCAGGGTTGTGGTGTGGCACAGCTGGGCTGAACAGACTGGGCCTTGATCTTGGATGCTGTCCTGGAGGCTGAAAGGACAAAGGGCCTGCCTCCCGGGACTCAGGAGCCAGGCTCTGGCTCCCATGCAGACCGAGCAAGAGAGTGGACCATGGCAGATGGACTCCTGGACAGATGGGCTCCTGGAGGGTGTCCGGGGCCCAAGGGCCTTGAGACGCAGCATCATAGACGGCAGCCTGACCGCAGGCTTCTTAGAAAAACAGACTCTACGGGCCAACCCAGACCTGCTGGTCCAGTTGCACATTCAAGTTCTGGAGGTGCTTCTCTGGAAGCTTCCTGGACCCTGGACGGAGTTTCCTGGGGGGTGAGGCATGGATGATGGCATCACTCCTAGTAGACTCCACTCCTGAGCCTGGAAGACACTCCCCAGCCTCTAGGTGAGGCCACACCTCTGGTCTCTCATATGGATTCATCGTTTCATTTTACAGTTGTTTATCATGGCACCTACTAGGCATCAGGAGACAATAATAAGCAAAAACCGACACAAGGCATGGTCCCTGCCCTCTGGGAGCTCTCGGGCCAGTGGGACCGACAGACCAGACCTCCCTGACGAAGGCAGCCTGAGCTGCACTTGGGGAGGTCACCTTGGTGAAAGGCGAGAGAAGCGTATTCCAGGCAGAGGATGCAGCACAAGCCGAGGCCCTGCGGTTGGATGGAGCGTGGCTGGTTTGAGGACTAAAGATCAGTGGCTGGAGGGCAGAGGGTGGGACGCCCACTGTATCAGATGAGCCTGAGACAAAAGTCTCCAGTTAGTCGGAGTTTCAGGTACTGGCCACACCCTTGGTGAAGTTCCAGAGAATCCTAGGACGTGAGAAATGGAAAGAACCTTGGGCTTCATCCAGGCCAATGGTTTGCACCTGGCTTCGAGCCTCAGTTTCGTCGTGAATTAACTGTAAAGGTGATCTTGGGTCATGAGTTTGTTATCTGAGAAGCGTTGGGAGTGCAAGAAGTGACCCATACTTTGCCTAGGCTGGGCGTAGCTCATGAGGACTATTTTACTTAGGACACATGTTAGGCGTCTATTCAAAAGAAAGCCCCTGCCCTAGCCGGTTTGGCTCAGTGGATAGATCATCGGCACTTGGACTGAAGGGTCCTGGGTTCCATTTCGGTCAAGGGTGTGTACCTTGATTGCAGACTCGATCCCCAGCCCTGGTTGGGGTGTGTGCGAGAGGCAACCAATTGATGTGTCTCTCTCACATTGATGTTTCTCTCTCTGTCTCTCCCCCTTCCACTCTCTCTAAAAATAAATGGGGAAAAATATCCTCAGGTGAGGATATAAAAAAGAAAAGAGAGAGAAACATCCAAATATCTTGCTTAAACAAGAAACACTTCCATTTCTCTCTCTGAGTAGGAGGTGCAGAGTTAGTGTGTGGAGAGCCAGGCATCTTCCCCCTTGTTGCCCTGCCACACTCAACACACGTCTTCACATGGTCCAAAAGGGATGCTCCAGCTCCTGCCATCAGTTTCACCCTCCTTCCTTTTAAAGACATGATCAAAATATTTGTTCTACCTATCACTGCTGTTCCTATATCATTGACCCGAACTCAGTCATGTGGCCACTGCTAGCTGCAAGAGAATCTGGGATCTGTGTGGTCTTTTGCTGGGCTGCCATGTGCCCAGCTAGAAATTCTATTGCTATGTAAGAAATGGGAGAGTGAATATTGGGGGACCACAGGGAATGATTCATAGTCTGAAGGTAGAGTTGGAGCCAGGGCACCCAGCCAGGTCTCTCCAGGATTCTCCTCTTGGCCTTGAACTCTTGGCCTGCTTCAGTGAGTTCATCAGGGTTGGGCTCCATTCTGCCCCACAATTCACCCCTATTCTCATCGGCTTCAGGAAGTCAACGCAGCCTGCGGAGGCTTTGGTAGTGTAGGGTTACAGTCATGGAAGGTGAGCCGGCCCCTGCCTGGGCCCCATCACGTCCCATGCTGAGCTCTAGGAGAGTTTCTGGAAGGCTAGTAGGACAGACTGGGAAAGAGCTAGGTTTCCACTGCTCACACGACTTGTCACAGGTACTCCTTCTGCCCTCACATTGGCGGGAGGGGCCAGTCTGCGTGGGCAGTGGGCAAGCGGTGTTTTCATTGCCTGCTCCTGAGCCAGGACCAGGGGTGGTCCACAGCCAGGTAAACAGCTGGCAGCAGCAGTTGGAGCGGCTGAGGAGTCCTTTCCCACCAGATTGTCTGACCCTGAGAAGGCCAAAACCAACACCAGCAGACTCCGGGGGCTGCATCCCGCCCACGGTCTGGGCTCCTCACCCCAGCCAGCTGCTGGCAATGGCTCCCTCCCTGGGCCTCTGCCTTCCACTCTCATTTTCTCGGACAGAGACTGTGTGTGTGGAGTGGGGATTGCAGGAGATGAGGGTTTCTC